AATAAAATTTGATTTGATTGATTTGCTGAGCTGTGATGTCTGAAAACCAAAACAATGCGAAAACATGGATGCTGTGAAAAGGATGGTGTGAATTTGATTGTGTCTCACAGAAAGTAGTTAGTATCCATGAATGCTCTGATGTCAGTGTCCCCTTAGATGTACTTACTAATGGTGAGTTTCCAAACAAATAATCAGTCACAGTACAGCACAACATGAAAGTAACGTATCTTTAACCAAAATGGAAAGGTGGCAAGTGGTTCATTGTAATGTGGTTCCTCAACTCAGTAGTTAAAGCTTAAAGTTGATGTTTTACACAGCACCACACTAGAATAAATAAAGCCCAGTATTCACCTGGAAGCAAGAAATTAACAGGCATACTTTGAAAAATGCCAATAATGTCATGTAAATATAAAGTGTAGTTAAGATTAGGGAACAACAAAACTGTTAAATCATACACAAAATCTTGTTTTTGACTTGTTTTTGTTTTCTCCTCTGTTCCTGAATTCCTCTACCACCTCAGGCTGCTTGGACCGTCTAAATTATCCAGCATGTCAGCGGCCAATGTGCCCCAGCCAGGGTCCACAATGCCACCTCATGCAATACACTGCTTTTTAGGATACGCATAGAGTGGTATTCACCATCTACCTACAATAGAATTTTACAAATTTAATCGAATAGACAAACAGAACTCCCTGACTGAATACATATTTCTATTCAGTATGTAACACTACATGTACCACAGCTAAAGAGAGAAAGAATTACTTAAACTTCCACACACACACACTTCTGTATGCAGTATTTATGCAGTGTAATGGGATAGCTTCACACTGTAACACACACAGGGGATGGCTATGGCTCAGGAGGTAGAGCGGGTCGTCTCCTAAGTGGTTCTATTCCCGGCTTCTCCAGTCCACATGTCCAAGTGTCCTTGAGTAAAACACTGAACCTCCCCCAGCTGGGAGTGTGAATGGGTGAAAGCGCTTTGAGAGTGCTGCAATGCATAGAAAAGCGCTGTGCGAGTATAAGACCGTTTACTACAATTTAACGGCTGTAGTGAATCTTACTGTTGTTGGCTTGTCCTTCTGCAGTGCTTCAGACTTGTCCATAATCCTAACTGATGATGGTTTCTCTGCAAACATAAAGGAGAAAATCTCATTTTGAAATCACAAAAGTGTGTTTTGGGGATAATTTGCATTTTTATACTGAGCACAGAGAAAAACATTTTTCACCACCAACGTTCAGCACTTGGCAAGTAAACAGCACAGATCATCTACATGCTGTGCTGTAAATGTGTTGCATTGATAATATTCAAGCTGTATGACATAATTTCAGCCTGGCCTTTGTTAGCTACAATCAAACCTCCAAGGACTAGTGAGCTAGACTCTTCGTGTTCTGTTTCATGTTTGAGTTTGCCATTAAGAAGTGATACATAGGCAGTTTTGAGGATTAAAATTCAGAAGCTTTGCACAGGAGGAAACAAAAGGTACAAATTCACAGGGGAAAACACTGAGTTTTAATGCTATTAAAAAATAAGATGTTTGTTAGCAAAAGTGCAGGCTTTGATGAAGCCTGACAGATAAAATGTTTAGTTTTTCATTCATTTGTCTGTGCTAATGATTTTTAGTTTTTGTCACTGACTTTATGGAAACCAAAATAGCTTGTACTGAACTTACTGTAAACAACAACAAGTACAGGGTACTCCATGAGGTTGTTATCTGACACCACCATGCAGGTGAAGGTCTTCTCGTCTTTAAGTGAGGCCTGGCTGATGAGCAGGCTGAACTTGTCATCAATGCTGACCCGCTGGGCATAATCATCTGTGGCTTGTACTGTGGCCGGGTCATTGCGAGCCTGCTTGACTAAGAGATCACCAGGAGAGCCATCTTCTTTTACCTAAAGCATGAGAAGAGACAGAAACAACAGAAGGACTTGGTGATTTTGGAAATATGTACATCATAGTTCTCAGTCCTCAATCATTTAAACATAAATGAAACAATCTAGGGCACCTTATTAAACCTGCCATTCAACAAAGAATATCTGACAGTACAATCATTCAAAGTTCAACCACCATGAACAACGAATGTTGATTAGAAGATATATACACTGCAGGTCACATGGTCTCTTCCAATATTAGTAGACTCAGCATGACAGATCATACTTTATCTCACCGATTCTAATTATGCTGGAGAATAAAAAGATCCTTATTTAGATTACAATAACAATTATATGACCTGGATAACTGAATCCTGTTTTTGCTAAATATTTTACTAAGTACACTAGCTTTTAGCTCTGTGCTCACTTGAGGTTTTGCCTCAAAGTGTCATGAGCATTTTCAGCACTCTTCAGCACCATAAGATGAACAGGAACTAGACAGGAATGGCTTAATGTTACTCACTCTCTCATACTCTGAAGTGACGGTTGCACAGTCTGCTGGTGATAGTAGCAGGGCTGTAGGTGCACTGGCAGAGTGACATGCATTTTGCCTGGACTAAAGAACTGCTGCACATTGAGTCAAGCAAAGAATCAGACAACACACACTTTATATTTTATTTCTACATTTTTTAAATCATACACAAATACTACTTGAATGTCATCTGAATTCTAAAAAAATGTGTATGCCAAATCAAAACGCCCTCTTTCTTTATCCATTTCTGCTTAGGAAGGTTTGTTTCTGGCTGCCATACACAACATTACTGCTGCCTCACTTCCTGATTTCCCAAACTAAGGGGTGGGCCGAGGGTCACAGAATGTGTGTGCATTAATTGCACTTCAAAAAATTTGTGGCATTAAAATAAATTTGCATTAATACCTTATTATATACATATATATCAAAACTGCCTAGGGTCTAATGGTGATGTCTTAAACTTTATGATTCTTAGTAATCCCAGAGAACGAGCAGCACAGCGGCACGGTCGCTGTCGCCTCACAGCTAGAAGGTTCTGGGTTTGAGCCTTTCTGTGTGGAGTCTGCATGTTCTCTCTGTGTCTGCGTGGGTTCTCTCCGGGCACTCCAGCTTCCTTCCAAGTTCTAAAGACATGCAGCTTAGGTTGACTGGAGGCTCTAAATTGCCCCAGGAGTGAGTGTGTTGGTCCCAAGCCCGGATAAATAAAGAGGGTTGTGACAGGAAGGGCATCCGGCATAAAAATGTGCCAAATTTACTCATGCGAATCGGATTCGCTGTGGCAACCCCTCACAGGAAAAGCCGAAAGTAGAGTAGTAGTAGTAATGACTGAGTACATTCAAGTGAAATCCTTTTACAACAGCGTTTTTAGTACAGTGACGTCTTCTGGCAAAAACCAGTTTCAAAAATTACAGGGATTTAACTTAGTTTAATGACCAGTGCAACTAAAAACTTTTATTTCTTTCACTTTTTACATACCGGCAATATGTCATTTCCAAGGCAAGGACCAGAGTTCAGTGTGTCTGTAAATGATCCTGATTAAATGACATTTAAATGTAAGAGTCTCACTGTAGACTTGATGCAACCTCCCATGAAAAGCAACAGTGTAACACATTTATTTTGTCTTGCAGTGCTTACCCCAAAACACTCAAGTATGGGCTGGCTCAAGTCTGTTTCCTTGAATCAGAATGTACTGTATACTGTATGTTGTATGTGCCAGGGACTATGACTTTATGGCCCTCAGGTCTTCATTCAGATATACCCGGGGCAATGAACAAGATGGCTGCACATAAACTATTTCATCAAAATGGCAAATTTTTATGAAACGTAGCTTGTAGCTCATTGTCTGTCTGCCTTACTACAGTAACAAGGCATCTTTGTGTTTTAACAACACTTCACTTATGATTTAATGACCTTGGAACTTTTATTCTGTAAATATTTTGTCCTAGGATTGGTCTTATGCTACTTTATTAAATTTAGATTTTTCCTGGAAAGAAAGTAAAACATTTAGATTTGGAATATCTGGTCCGCCTGTCCAAGTAAGACAAATCAGTAGGCCGACAGATACAGCCATCTTAAATTTCTGACTGGACCTCAGTGGAACCATGTCCGATCTGTGACAGGTCCGCACACAGCCCCTGCTCTCACACTGTGTCCCCCACAATGACGCAGTGGTCTCAGCGCTGCCTTGTTAACACCCCTAAGCACCGAGTGTGCAAGCCACCCACGTTGTTGTACATATCCACCAGTTGGAGTATTTGTTGTTGTTTACTGCGGCTGACTAATAATTTGATCCTTCTGTTAATATCCAGACCTGCTGGTGGATGAATACAGTAGGACACCAAACGGAGCTGAGGCACCTGGTTAGCAGTGGCTGCCTACATATTAACCAGTGTCCGTGTCTGTCACAGTAACAACTACTACTTCATTATGAGTACATGCTCAAGCCTTTGAGACATCGTGCCACTGGCAGTTATTGCATTATGTCAATATTATGTCAATGTTGCCCTCAGGCTCTGTTGCTCTTGTTAGGTATTTTTAGTCAGATAGACATTGGTTAGACACTTCATGTATTAGAAATGTTTAGTGTAGACAGGATGTCTAGCTCAGGCTGTTAAATGCTTAGTCATTCCCATGGGGTACTCCAGGTTGTTTATGTTCAAGGATAACTAGATAGGAAGTTGATTACTGTTAGGAGACAGGATGTTTATTATTATTATGACGTGTTTAATCATAATCGTAATCATAATACTTTATGCTTAATGTCATGACATGTCACTAGAGGTCATGTCAGAATATCTTAGATACACACCACACAATCAACGGACAATCACACATCGATTTTCTTCATGTTTTGACTACTGCCATGGTCAGCTGCAAAGCTGGCACCGGGAGACGTCACAGTTTGGCGTTCCTGTGTAGAATGGGGCTAGCCCAAAGCGATATAATGTACAGGCCTGTTGGGTTCGGGGTCTTTCATCCTTCAGCTGCCTGCATGCATGTTGGAGGTGCAAGATACCTGAGCATGTAATGTTAATTTTTACCTGTGTTCATGGAATAAATCAGCACTGTTTTGAAGCTACTTGGACTGCCTCGTCTCTCAGAGTTAGCATGGTAAAAAGAACCGGAATACAACACTCTTTTATGCTCTCCTGAATAAAACCGCTGACTTTTTCCGCACTTCAGGGCCAGTCTTGGCCAAATAGACACTCACTCACATCTAAAAATGATATTCCTCTATAGTCTATACAACTACACTGCAAATGCAGATATGTTTTGTAGTTAACGTATTTGGTCATTACATTTTATTCCGATGAAACATTACATTGATTCTTGAATGAATGAAGTGCTGCATTTTCCTACACTACAGCAGCAGAAAATGGTGGAGAAAGGAGTACGGTGGAAGCACAATGGGCAGTGTTGTCACATCAGTGGTTCGAGTTCAGTTTTGGAATTCTGCTTTAGCATTTGATTTGAAGCCGCTTTTAAGTTTTGCTTTCTCTAAACCAAGCACTTTGAGTCAACACATAAGCATAATGAAACTTGTTAAACACTGTCTTTGAGCAGCACCTCTATAGCATTAGTCACTATAGTACTTACAGCACCTTAAACATTATTAGAACACTGCCAAATGACAGTCCATGTGCAGAAAAAGAAGCTCAGTTACTCGTAGCTGAGTCACTGGCAGTTACAGTCTGGTGTGGCTTACTTTTGTAATGCAGTGACTGCAGTGCACATAGCTTTACAAATAGTGAATAGCCTACTAAAGACTACGGTCTCAATGTGAACTGATAATTACCTAAATATCAGCATGATTGTATTAGTAAGTATGTAGTTACACAAATAAATGATGTACTACTGTAGTTTTAATACATAACTGTCAGTGAGAGGGCTGTCCTTTTTCTGAACTTGTGTGTGCACATAAAATGTCTGTGCACGGCCCTGTTGCTGTGTCTTCTGTGCTTGCGGTAAATCATGATTTCTGTCACAGTGAATTCCCTAAAACAAACAACTCTATATCTTTATGGATCGGTGTAGGAGCAGGGTTGGATAACTATGGAGATGGCCTCATACCTGAGATGTGTGACCACTTCATTTAAATACGAATGACTTATCTTCAGCCTCTGGCAGGCATATGTGCTGTTTTTCCCTCTCTACATCTCCAAACTGTGCTCCCTCTTTCATTTGGTTTGGTTTCCCTTAGTTTAATGGGTAGGAGATGTTGGTCACTGCGTGGAAAGTTGGTCTGGGAGGATGTTAATGAGAGAGAGCCATCTGAACTGAATGAGCTACAGAGGTGCTGCTCAAAGACAATGTGCGTGCTGCACTCACTCCAAGCTGTGCAGGGGTCATGTTATTATGAGAAAATACAGTATGTTCTTATAATCATGAAGTAGCCCACAGTATGTTGTTAAAATGAGAAAATACATTGTCGTAATAACATGAAAAATATTTTAACGTGAAAGTATCACATAAAAATGAGCAAAGTATCTTGTTATAATGAGAAATTTCCTTGTTAAAGATACTATATGGTGCCGTAGGTAGTCCTTGTGAGTGCTATGAAATATAATCCTGCAGGCACCACTGATATTCACTATAGACAACTCCTGCAGACAAATAACTGAGCTGTTGCACACTGCTTCACACTTTACACACTGAAACCAATAGGAACAAACAGCTGCTACTGGGAGTTTTTGAATTTTAAGATGGACATTTGAATGCAAAGCAGGCATCATGGTGGTTTAATTTTGATTGTGAGCCCTTAAAAACAAAGACTATTGGAGTTATTTATTTCACCCAGTGTTAACATGATATAACTTTAAAGAAGGTTTAGAACAAGGTTACGTACAATAGCCTACAGTATATGATGCAGAAGAAATGATTCTCTGCTCTAATTTAACTTGGAACATTTTTACATTTCAGAATTGTGAAATGTACTGCGATGTGAAGCCAGTGCATTAAACACATCCCCAGTAGGCTACCATTCCGAAATCCACAGGATGTGTCCTCACGAGACCGAAATAGAAAATGCAGATAGCTTTCACCTAATCAGACTCTTGTTACATTAATATGTCTCTTTTGCTTTGTCTGTATTGCATTAGCAATAAAATGTTCCCAGCCAATGTATTTTTTTCTGCCAAAATATCAGGTCTTCCAGCACATGACTCTCACAAATCTTGGTGAAGAGAGAGAGAGCAAAACTGACACAGAGCAAATTTCAAGGTGGAGTCGAACTCAAAACTGCGCTTCATGCCTTTGCCGCCCTCCCCACAACTCTTTCTCCATCTGTGTCAGTAGAAAAATGCAGCGTTTCATTCATTCAAAAATGACTTTGCATCGGAATGTGACAGTCAAATGCTTTCCTTACAAAATGTATGTGCATTTGCAGTTTAGTTGCATGGGAACATTTTAAGAGACAGGGTGAACAAGTAATAAACTAGTAATCTGTACTTTAAGACAGTGATAGCTGGCCGTTAAACCCTCATTCTGCCCCTTGTGTTTTTAATGAAGCTGTATTGACAGTATCGTTTTACAAAGTCCACATAACTGCAGCTGTGCGATAGGTCAGATTTCAAATGAATCTTCACAAAGACGTTATCTTCTTCATTCTAGCAGACTTTAATATTTAGTTATTACTTATTATTTCTTAATATAAATTAAGCATGCTAACCATGTTTAATAGATCTTTGACTAGAAATATGAAACCTAGTGTAGCAGGTAATAATTATTTATCTGGTGCTGTACCTGTATGATAAGGACTATGGTCAGACACTTCTAGTGCATAAACCATGACCTAAACAAAAACATGCCTTTGCAGTGTGAATACAGGACTTCAGGCAGTCACGCTCTGGTTTGTGTGTTTTTGAGAACAAAGCGTCTTCTAGTGGTGACACAGTGGAAAACAAGGAATACCTCTTTAGTGGGTGTGTTTCTTGTGAAATGTATCAGTTGAAAGGGGGGCTCATGGAAGGCTGATGGGAACTGCACGCCAGCAGAAAGCCATTCAGCAATCCTGAGTGGCTACATCTGTATTTGGAGATTTTCTCCAATGTTTTCAGAGACATGAGTACTAGCTAGCAGACCAAGCTGCCTCTACTGTGTTCTTTTGTCTTCATCATCAGACTCACACTGCACTAAAATTTACTGCTGTCTCAAATATTCAAATACTAAAACTGAAAACCAATTACCTACTCAACGATCAAATATTTGAATAGTCAGGTAATTGGGTCCAGCTGTAGTTGAAATTAACTCAGATAAATCTATGGGAAGGAAACAGCCAAAATATAAATGAGGCCTTCAGACATCTTTAGTGCTGTTGTACTTTTGATATATAATTCAGGGAGCAGATACAGTGTCTGTGGGTTTTGGGAGGATGACACTTGTAAGAAAACTGCAGACTCTAAAGGCTGGATGATGAAAAATATCAGGGAGAGTGGAACCTATTTTATTTATTTCATAATCATGACATACATAAACTGTAATAATAATTTTGCTCTTCTTAAAAAGAACAAAATATAGTATACTCTGTATAACCACATATCTCAAAGATGAGTGTAGTGGTTGAAAATAAACAAGGTTCCAGAGGTAATATGTAATAGAACAGTATGTAGTTCATATTTAGATATTATTTGTAATAGTTTTGTAAAGGATGTAAGGCTGAGCTCAGTGTGTATGGAAGCTTGATCTGTTTCTTGAGCAGGCAAGAATATCTTGTGCTGTGTCCCCCTTGTTTAACCTATGGGTCAACATCCCAAGTGACTTCCTCCTCAGATAGGGAATGGATATACTGTAGTCCTTATGTGAACGTGTGCTCTGCTCAGGTTTAGAAAAAGGAAATGTGTGCTAGGTCAATGCAACCTAGAAGTTCATGTACTGGACATTTTTAGACAATGCTCGGAAGAAGGTGTGTGTGGGTAGCTGGCATGGGACCGCATCTTCATGGCTCAGGCCATAGAGGGCTGTGTAATTGCGAGCAGATAAAAAGCTGGGTTAGAGCAGAAGAAGGAGAAAGAGAGGATGACAATGCTACTGTGACAGGGAGAGTATACTTTGTGGGGAACCCAGCCGGCTGGGGGGATGCTGAATTAAGACTGACTGACTGCTGACTAAGACTGACTGGCACTCTGACAATCTTCTTCTTTAATACTGTATCCATTCCATCTGTTCTGTTTCCCTAACTACAAGATAATCTGTTTAAATACTACTCTATTCAGAATAATTGTAATATTAAATGATCCTTTGAATTGGGATGGTTTGTCTGAATTAATTTAGTCGGCATCACACTCTAACCACGACGAGTCAAATAATTTTCTATACAGGTCATTAAATGTCTTGGCTTGGGAAAATGTGTATTCAGTAAAGTTCAGACTCTTCATAGACAGCACTGAGAGTCAGTATCTACTTACATATTTCCACTTGATGAACATCAGATCCTTTGGTGCTGGAGCTCCTTTATTGCATGGTATGACAATGGTCTCTCCATACAAAGCAGTCACATGTTCGGTCCCCTGCACTGCAACGCAAATGGCAACAGAACATAATTATTATTCAAATATACTGTACTATGTACAGTACTGTCAGGTGAGCACTTGATTCAGCAAAGGGTGTGCAGCAGTGGTGGGAGTCTGTCCTGTGTATTGCTTGTTTGGGGCCTGAGTGATCAAATCTATACAGACACCTGAAATGAGAATTCCATGCTCCCCCCATGCCGAGTACGGTTCCAGTGTGCTTGTGCACATCAAATAAATGTTCTGATAGAGCTGTGTTACAGTCAAAGGGGGTTATCACAAAAAACCCACCAAGAAAAACAGTACTTGAAGGATTAACATATTTGTCTGATGAGCATTCTTAAATCACTTGATCTGTGTCAGGGTCGGAGCGTGAAGCTGCTGATAATATCGAGAGGGTGAACTCAATTATATTGCCGGACGAGGATAAGTGAATAACTGTCTCTTTAATGAGAGCACGGAACAACAAAACAATACAGAAAACTACGTAAAACACGATGCACACACTCGGGTCGAAAACACAGTCCAGGAAAAGAGCCTGCAAACTTACACAGCTGAGGAATTCACAAAACTGAGAGAGGGAAGTCCAATAACCCATTCACAGAAGGCAGTCTGAAGCAAGAGGGCAAGGCAAAACACAATGGTCACAGTACACGATCCGAGGTCAGAACAGGAAATACCAAAAAAACATTAACGCTGGAAAGTCTGCACGGGAGTGAGAGAACGATCTGGCAGGTAACTGGTGGGGGAAAGTTGCTTATAATGTGGTGAAAACAGGTGCAAACAATCAGGAGCAGGTGAAAACAATGAGTGCCGATTAAAATAAAAAGTCTGAAACTGTGGTGAAACAAAAACAGGAAGTAATGTCAAAATAAAAGGACGAGAACAGAAACCGGCGGGACAGAATCATAACAGATCTGGAGCCTTTGAACAGTGGTGAGGGCAGAGAAAGAACAGAAGAATAAAGCAAAACCTATGGCTTATAATGTATCTCTATGATCCCAAAGTTTTCAGACACCCTGAAAGAGACTGTGGTTACACTGTAAGCATAAGTGTCTTAAAATGAATAGGTGTGGACAAAGTCAATAAAACAAAATCATACTATGTTGTCACTCCAAATATTGTGACACCACATGTCAGAAGCCTCCAATTAAGTTTGAAAGGTATGTGAAAGGTCTGACTTGGCAAGTCAAGCTCATTTGTGCTCTGCACCACCACCACAAAACCTCTGTCCACAAGAGTGAGGGAGCACTGAGGTGGAGTAGTTGCAATGGCAGCAAAGCACAGCCAAGCACACCATGAGAGGGAGACAAGGGGCGGCGAGAAGATAGATGGAGGTCAGAGCAGGGTTCAGAGACACTAAGGTCTTCAGGCAGCAAGTCTTTCTCTTTGAACTTTCAGCCAAGCAGGCAGAACAAGAAGCAGTTGAAATTCTGGTCATTCCAGAGTGATGACGACAGATAAAGCACAAGTGCAGCTGCTAAATGAGGCGGCTGCTCAGGGCCAGGCCTCATGCTTGCCTTCTCATAGTCCCTCGGCCGAGAGCTGTTACTCATGCTAAACTTTTAGTTCCACCCCAACAACATGAGTATCAGTTTTTACTCTAAATTTATACCATAGACAGTAGTCAAGCAAAACCACAAAAAAACACAATACTTCAATTACAAATCTTTCTATGTAATCATTAACTAAGATTTCATGAACAGGACCAGTTTTCTAGGTCACCCAGTCATGTCTAAGGAAAACACATGCACAGTTTTTTTGTTTGTACTTTTGGGGTTTTTTTTTAACAACAAAATAACACGTTTATTTGACATAACATGGAAAATAAGATGACAAACATTCACCAAAGAGTAAAAAAAAGTGTGTATAGTGTGGGTGTATTCAACTCCATAAGAAAAACTCAATTAAATTCATTCATTCATTTTCTACCGCTCAGTCCCTGAGCGGGGTCACGAGGGGGCGGGGGGTTGGAGCCAATCCCGGCCGGCAATTGGGTGAAGGCGGGGTACACCCTGGACAGGTCGCCAATCCATCGCAAGGCTAACACATAGATGTACAACCACACACGCACACATGCACTCCTATGGGTAATTTAGAGACACCAATCAACCTAAGCTGCATGTCTTTGGTCTGTGGGAGGAAGCTGGAGTACCCGGAGAGAACCCACGCAAGCACGAGGAGAACATGCAAACTCCACACAGAAAGGTCCCGGGTGGGGCCTGAACCTGGAACCTTCTCGCTGTGAGGCAACGGTGCTAACGTAAATATAAAGGTGTGTGTCGAAAGGGAAGGGGGATACAATTTAAGGGGTCAGTTAAATTTAAAAGTTCATGCTATACGTACAACCAAAAAAAGATTTTGTATTTCCATAAGTGGGGTAAAACTATGGAATAATTTAAGTGGGGACTTAAAAAATAGTAATAGAATTGACGAGGTCAAACGTAAATATAAAGGTGTGTGTCAATCAAGATATATGCAAGAACAGGCTCAATGATTATATTTTGTAAACCATTCTTTAGTATATCAATTGTGTGATTTAAGAATGTTAACACTGTTATATTCTTTTTTAGTATAATGTGTGTGTGTGCAGAAGTGAATCATTTATTGCTTGCAAACCAATGATGGTAAGATGATGTCATGGGGTAGGACTGGATAAGTCTGACTTCTTCCTACTCCATTCAAGCATGTATTAGGTATAAGCTAATTGATATTGGATTGTGTGTAAAAATGTGTGTTGTTATATCAACTGTTTTATATGCTTGAAAGAGGATACAATTATGCAGTGGGGTAAGTGCGTTAGAATCGCCTAGTATCAGCGGCACACAGATCTGAATGTCATCCGCATAAAAATGAAAATGAACATTATCCTTGATATGATTGAACCAAGTGGTGACATATATAAAGAAAAAAGTAGCTGGGCCAGAATCGAGCCCTGAGGAACACCTGAGGTGAGAGGGGCTCTAGTGGAGGAGAAATCGCCAATCATGACAGAGAAGGTCCTATTGGTCCTATTGGTCAGGAAGGAGGTAAACCACTTTAGAACCGTGCCTCTCAGGCCAACACAGTGTTCCAACTGGGAGAGAAAAACTGCATGGTCAACTGTGTCAAAGGCTGCCGATAAATCTAGAAGAGTTAGAATAACGCTTGGGGTTTGGCCATCATATACTAGCGCAGAAAACACTTAAGGCAGCATCAAATATAACAAAACAAAACAAGCATAGGAGGAGCAAGCAGCTGGCCAGATACAGCGGCGCCATCTTGTCAGGACCTCTGTGCGTGGTAGGCCCACTCAAATGCCCCTGCAAATGCAACATGACAATAAAAAACATTAACAAACATGGATACATCCCTCCTCACCTTCAATACCACATGCAAACATAAGACTCAGCTGCTTCCTTTGCAGAGCAGATGGCACAGCTTTGGGACAAACTCACACTTGGATACCTGTCAAATGTGTCTTTGTGTAATGATGCGTTCACACATAGATTCAAAGTGACGAATGCTTAAATTTATGATAATGTCCTGTGATGCAGTGCAAGCGAAGGCCAGGTGAGAGTGAATTATGATCATCTTGATTAAAGCTGGACACAAAGTTGTTTACTGCTCCAGACCACTACATGACATTTTTAAACAAAATGGAGGAAAAACCTATCATGGCAGTCTGGTCTCCCACTTCTCTATGGCATGTCTTTAATGAGCTAAACAACTCACAGACAACTCTTCAGTTGGAGCAGAGCATGCAAATGACGTGCTCAACACAATACATCCCCAGAAACACAGATTCATTGAATCCAGATATAGCCAGCTGCTTTGCATCCATGCCCATGATAGAAAATACAAAAGCTGGCTTTTCCAACCTAATCCAACTGGATCAAGTGACTGGACCTCAAGGAGCTAGCAGGGATTTTTTTTTTTCCTTTGATATAAAAAAATAACAATTATACTGTAACCAGAAAGATCTAATAAGAGTACAATTCTTTTTTTACAGCAGTATCCTGGCCAAGACAACATCAGGACACACTCTCAGCACAGAACATACCAAAATATAAATAAATACCTGCAACCATGTGTTCATTCTATGCTGCCTTGTTAAAGACACAGTAAAGATGATTCCAACTTGATGAGAAAGACAAAAATGAACAAGCCTGAAAAATGTGTGTGTGTGTGCATTTACAAGTATGCATGTTTATTTATGTTCATGTACACATCTTCACACGCCCCCTTCTGGTAGAAGAACAAAGGCACATACACATTATGTATACACACTCTGCCTCATCTATCATTCTGTCTGAAAGCTGTGCCTGAGCATTCTTGCATAAAATGTCACCATCATTTTTCTTGGCTTCTGTCAAGCTTGCAGTCACCAAAATAAACATTTGCTCTAATATATTAGCAACAAATGCTTATTTAGGCAACGAGTTGATTAACATACATTAGCATAACAGCACGTCCAGTTGTCTCTACTCTGGAGCATAATTGAAAAAGCTTGACCCTACTGTGGTCACTGTTGTACAGTACGTTTTCCCTCCTCAGAAGCGCAGTTTTTGTGAATACTGTGTTTGTGCTGGATGAAAAATTACTGTGGCACAATACTTGATGTCCAAGGGAAGGAGTGTGTGCAAAAAAAAGAAGTGCAAAACTGTCAGAGCAGCAGGACAGAAGTACCGTATTTTCCGCACTATAAGGCACACCTAAAAGCCTTAAATTTTCTCAAAAATCGGCCGTGTGCCTAATAATCCGGTGCGCCTTATGTGTGCACTGAGTTCCAAAATCAGGGTAAACAAATCGGAGGCACATTTGCTAAACCAACCACTTTAGTGACTACCCTTTAAAGGTTTTTATCTTGTAGACAATGTTTGAAAACACTGCTAATAAAGCACAAATCTCACCTTTATGTGGCCTGTCCTATAGTGTATTTTGGCATTTCTCCTTGTTCTGATGCACCAAGAAGCAATGTTTTAAATGTATTTATTTTTAATTTTATCAACCTATAAGCCTGCTG